GGGAAAGGGAGAGGGGGAAAGGGAGAGAGGGAATGGGAGAGAGGGAAAGGGAGAGAGGGAAAGGGAGAGAGGAAAGGGAGAGAGGGAAAGGGAGAGAGGAAAGGGAGAGAGGGAAAGGGAGAGAGGAAAGGGAGAGAGGGAAAGGGAGAGAGGAAAGGGAGAGAGGGAAAGGGAGAGAGGAAAGGGAGAGAGGGAAAGGGAGAGAGGAAAGGGAGAGAGGGAAAGGGAGAGAGGAAAGGGAGAGAGGGAAAGGGAGAGAGGAAAGGGAGAGAGGGAAAGGGAGAGAGGAAAGGGAGAGAGGGAAAGGGAGAGAGGAAAGGGAGAGAGGGAAAGGGAGAGAGGAAAGGGAGAGAGGGAAAGGGAGAGAGGAAAGGGAGAGAGGGAAAGGGAGAGAGGAAAGGGAGAGAGGGAAAGGGAGAGAGGAAAGGGAGAGAGGGAAAGGGAGAGAGGAAAGGGAGAGAGGGAAAGGGAGAGAGGAAAGGGAGAGAGGGAAAGGGAGAGAGGAAAGGGAGAGAGGGAAAGGGAGAGAGGAAAGGGAGAGAGGGAAAGGGAGAGAGGAAAGGGAGAGAGGGAAAGGGAGAGAGGAAAGGGAGAGAGGGAAAGGGAGAGAGGGAACAGGAGCAGCACCCCCAGCTGGAATGGGACAGAGGGACCCATCAATCCAGCTCCAGGCCCTGCCCAGACACCCCAAAACCCCACCCTGGGAGCAGCGCCCAAACATTCCCGGAGCTCCTGGGCGAGCCTGGAGCAGCCTCTGGGGGCAGAACATCGCTGGGGTGTTGGGCAGGGTCCCCAGACTCGTTGGATTTGGTGTAAAAACCCTGCAGGGTTTGGTTTGTGCACGTGGAACACCGGGAGAGAGCCAGCGGAGCAGAGCCAGGAATTAATTTGGTGACTCTGCACAAGGGCCACGCTTTTTGTCTGGTCCCAAACCCGTGGGGCTGAGGGTGCAGCAGCTCCAAACCTGTGGGGCTGAGTCTGGAGGTGCAGCAGAGCTCTGGGTGTGGGGCTGAGGGTGCAGCAGAGCTCTGGGTGTGGGGCTGAGGGTGCAGCAGAGCTCTGGGTGTGGGGCTGAGGGTGCAGCAGCTCCAAACCCGTGGGGCTGAGGGTGCTCACCCACCCCTGAGAGCCGTGCTTGCCTTGCAGGCCCTGAGCGAGGAGATCAAGCACATGCACGGCCTGCGGATCTTCACCTCGGCCCCCAAGGCCTGAGGCTGCTCCAGCAGCAATAAAACGCCCCAGGAGGGGCACCCAGGGATGTGAATTCCACCCAGTGTTGTGTGTTCAATCAGGGCCCCGTGGGGCAGGGAAAGGAGAGGAGAAACCCTCTTCCTCTGAAAGAAGAGCAGGAAGAAACTTTATTATTATTATTATTATTGTTGTTGTTATTATTATTATTGCCTTTGCCACACAGGAGGGACCCGTGGGACATCCCAGAGCTGCTCCTCCCACCCACCCAGGGACAGGGACAGCCCACCCTGGGGCCAGGCACTTCTCCTCCTCACCCCTGCTTAAGGCTCTGGGCCAAAGTGCACCTCTTTTATCCAAAAAAAAAAAAAAATAAAATAAAAAAACCCAAGAAAAAGCACTTCCAAAAATAAGCTGAGCCTCTCCGGGCGTGCTCTCGGGCTGGAGAGTCCAGAGAGGAGCTCTGGGAGCAGAAAGCGGCCAGGCAGCACCTGGAACATCCAGAGCAGGGCAGAACCTGCTCCACCTGCGGCCAGCCCAGGGCAAGGAGAGCCCAGCGGGGGCTGCAGAGCAGCGCTGAGGCCGCTCGCTGCCGGCTGAAGAAGAAGCGGAAAAGGAGCAGCCAGAAGGGTCCTCCCGGGGGGGTTTTATCTGTCCTTGGAGCCCAACTTCTCAATCAGCTCGTGCAGAGGAGCCAGCTCGCGCCTGTCGATCAGGCTGAACTCCTGGCAGGAGGAAAAGGAGACACCAAAAAGTGAGGGAAGATGGAAAAAGCGTCACCCTGCACGGGCTGGGGGCAGCACCGCTCCTGGTCCTGGTGGAGAAATCAAATTTCAGGGCAGCAAAACTCCTGCCACGTTGCTGCACACAGCAAGGCACAGACCAGGCTTGAAAAGTAAAAGAAAGGTGCTGGTGCTGCTCTTTCTGAGTCGGTTCCTGAGCTACAAACCCTCTGAGTTCTCCTCCAGTTCTGGATTTGTTGGCTGCAGATTGGTAATTAAAACCCGAGAGAGAAATTGGAGCGCTTACAGCCAACAGAACAAAAAAACCCCCAGAAAAGCCCGGCAGCACGAAGGGCTCAGCTGGGTGTGGAGGGGGAGCTGGGTGTTAACAGAGCAGATCTTGGAGATTTCCACCCAGAATCCTCCAAAAGCCAAGAGAGAAGATGAGATCCCCCCTCCAGCTCACCTGCACGAAGAAGATAAAGTGCTTGAAGGAGGTGTTGAGGTGAGCCTCCTCCTGCAGCCGCATCACCGAGTCGAAGTGCTGGTGGTAGATGTGGGCGTAGACCCGGAACAGCCGCTTCAGGATGGTCTTGGCCACCGACATGAAGTTCTTGGGAAAGGGGACACCTGGAAAAGGGGGGACAGACAGGGATCAGGGCATGGCCCAGCCAGGAGGGGCCGTCCCGGGGCACGTGGCTGCACCCACCGATCTTGGAGGGGAAGAGGGTCTCGTCATCCAGCTGGTCCTGCACCCACGTCATCAGGTAATCGATGTACTTGGGCGCTGAGCACTTGATGGGCTTCTTGATGTTGGTGCCGTCGGCCCAGTGGTACTCGTACCTGTGGGAGGGGGGATTAGGGAAATCCCGCAGGAAAAACGGGATTCAGGATCCCTGCTGATCCCAGGAGTCGCTCAGGGCTGAGCAGAGCTCGGCCTGTTTGAGTTTCCTGAGCCCAACAGTCAGGGCCGACCCCTCTGGGGGTGTTTTTTTGGGACAACCCTGCCCTGAGATCTCCATCCCAAATTCCCCTGGAACAGCTCCAGCCATTCCATGGGATCCTGTCTCTGCTCCCAGAGATCAGATGTTAAAAATGACCCTCGGCTCTGTGGCTGCCTCCTCTGACATCATCATTTCCTTAAAACAAACCAAAAGGAGCGTCAGGGCCATCACCCCTCCCTGGACTAACTCCCCTCTGTGGCTTTCAGATCCAGGAGATTGGGTCACACCAGGCTTTTCCCCCAGGGCTGGACACGAGCCAAAGGCTTTTGGAGGCTCTGGATCTCACGGCAGACCCTGCTCCCACCCCTCTTCTCTGAGGTGTTTTACAAGATCCCTGAAAAGCAGCAAAGCCCTCTGTGTTTTTCAGCCGGCCACAAGCGCGAGCGGTGCCACTCGAGAGGAAGCTGTGACAGGAAATGGCCCCAAAAATAGAGGCAGGAACTGGCAGAGAGCAGATCCTGCAGGGTAGGAGAGCAGGGCAGGAGGTTCCACGGCAGCCACAGGGTGCTGGGCTCACAAACAGAGCCTTGGCAACCTCCCGGAGAGGATTCCCACCTGTGGCAAAATCCGTGAGTGCAGAACCAAGCCCTGGCAGGAATTCACACCTAAAATCAACAAGGTGGCCCCAAAAAGGGTTCACTCTCTTCTTTCCACCTCCCCCGAGGCCCCAGCCTTCTCCTGCAGAGCAGTGCCACCACATTATAAAATTAAAATTAAGAAATAAAATGAAAAGCTGATTAAATGTGCCTCCTGAAAATCCACCACATCCCCTGAGGATGACACCAGAGGAACAAAATGTGGCAGCTGGACCCTGCCTGGGGTCCCTGCAGCTCCTCCCTGCCCCAGCTGGGGCTGCCCCCTCACCTGGGCCCTGCAGACATCACGGGGCAGCTGCTCTCGGTGCAGAACTCCGTGATGGTGCCGTACAGCATGTTGATCTGGTTGAAGAAATCCACAGCTGCAAAGGAAACGCCGTGGGGTGAGCCAGGCGTGAGCCCAGCACCTCCCAGGATGCTCAAAAACCTGATGGATTTGGTAATATCCAAGGAGAGACCTTCCTCAGGCTGAGCACTCCTGACCTGAATCTGAATCTCTACATTCCTTGCTTTAAATTGCTTTTTTTCCCCCTCTC